GCGGGCTTTGCCCCGCCCCGGGGCCGTTGAGCGGTGGCCGTGTGAGGAGCCGCGCGAAGGGCGTCGCTCGCGGAAGGCCTCGTGCGCCCCGAGTACGTGACTGCGCCCCGAGTACGTGACTGCGTCCCTTCGTGCTGCCCGGGAAAGCACGGGCTGAGCTGCCTTGGTGATGTGGAATATCAGGGAATACTCTACAAAGAAACACTGCTGTCATTTCTTTAAACTCCCCCCCAAAGTGAAAATTTGAGCGTTGCTCTTCCCCTCACTGGTATCAGGGTGTTGGCATGTTTTGGTTTATTTTCACTTCCCGAGTACGTGACTGCGTCCCTTCGTGCTGCCCGGGAAAGCACGGGCTGAGCTGCCTTGGTGATGTGGAATATCAGGGAATACTCTACAAAGAAACACTGCTGTCATTTCTTTAAACTCCCCCCCAAAGTGAAAATTTGAGCGTTGCTCTTCCCCTCACTGGTATCAGGGTGTTGGCATGTTTTGGTTTATTTTCACTTCTACTCATTAAAGAGCATCTTTTAATAATATGTTTTAACATATTTATAAATAGCTCCCAGCTTTTAAATGGCCCAATAACAGAGCTTGTTTTCATGTGCTGATTTTCCTGTTCAGAAAAGCAAATTAACTGTGCTAGCTCCCTAAGTGGCTATTAATTAAAAAGAAAAAAATTATATGTTCAAGAAAGACATTTCAGTTGTAATTAGTCTATTGCTGTTCATTTGTAATCAATGCATCAGCTGGCTAAAAACATTATATATTTAAAAGTTGCAGTAAGTCAGTGGTGAGTGATGATGCTGCAGAAGTTCAAAACAGCCAAGAAACAGGAAAACCCGTGGGATAGGAGCCGTATCTTATGTTTGCGCTGCAAGGCTCCCTGTGGGAGTGGAGGTAATTAAGTCCTTCCTTCTAGTACTGCTTCAGTGGGTGAGGCTTTCAGGGGATATTTGCTGCGCTGTCATCTTGTCTCTGAGCACACCAGGCGTAAAACCGGCGGTCAGACCTGAGCGTTGCCAAGTCAAGAGGAGCCAGAGGGTGTTTGCTTAAGCTCAGTGTTGATTCAGGTGCAGCCTGGAGCTTCCTCTGTTCCTCCCATCCCTGCTCCTTAAGAGATTCTGTCAATGTTTGGTTCAATTTAGATACCTGGGTTTATCATTTACAGACTTTGTAGAGGTTTGTATGTTGCATTGCCTTCAAAAGCAGAATGCCAGAGGAAACAAACATGCTTGCAATCATGTGATGACATGATAATGAAATGGCTATTCTTCAATGCATTCATATTCTTGATTTTGAGAAATGAACTACACTGCAACAGTCTGGTGTAACCATCTGTTGTAGATATATCACTGTAGACGGGATTTTTACTGGTTTTGTGAGAACTGTTAGAACTCTTTAGATAGCCCTGCAATATTTCATGTAGCAGTATAGTTACCCAGAGCAAACTTTATGCCAATATCATTGCTCATATCAGTCTTTGTGATTTGCCTCAAACAGCTGTGGTGAAATAGCCTGGATATGGTCTCTCTGGAAGTGTGATCTTGTCCTCTTAAAATATATGGCAATATATGGCAAAATTCCTTGCAATTCAAGGAAATGATTTGCATGGCGATCTTGTCCTCTTAAAATATATGGCAAAATTCCTTGCAATTCTGTAAATACAGCTTTAGGTACTGATTTGTTTGATCCTACCGAAGACTGAATATACCAGATGATGATTTGCATGGTGTGTTCTTTGTATATCACCTAAAAATAGAGTTTTGTTTGTTTGCTTGTTTGGAGTTATCTGCAATTAAGCTATGTAAGATAACAGTGCTTGTGCCAAACATCAACTTCTATTGATGACTTCTATTCTTCAGTTACTATATGGTGTGCATATAGCAAAACAGTGCACCGTAATTAAGCTCATTTTTATATTTCTCATTATGTATAATAGAATTTGATTTTCCAATACTTGATATATAGCAATTTTTACTAGGTTTTATACATCTGTTGTATGTGTATATTATTCCAAAATTGATGATTGCTTATTTATTTTAAACATGAGAATTTTTAGTATTCTATGAGCATTTTTCGTATTTAGCATTAGTAGAATAAATATTTAGTATTTAGTAGACTTCATGTATTTTCAGTATATATTCAATATTAAGAGACATTCAGAGAAACAGGAAGAGAAATACATAAGTCAGTGTTACCTTTGTGGTGTGCAGTGCATGACTACAAATTCTCAGTGTAGACATCACTCAAGATGTTTAAGTTAATTGTGGAGTGAGAGGACTGAAAAGCTGGAATTCAGGCCCAGAGATAGAGGGGTTTTTTGGTAGTAAATTGTCATCTCTTTGTGCAGATCATATCCTTGTAGTGTTGTTGCGGCTTTACTGTGAAAATGCTGCCAATGCTTTGCATGGATCCAGACTCAGGAGAGAAAACGAGATCACTTGTGTGGCAGGGCTTTGCAGGCCTGTGTGGTGCACGCAGGGCAACATGGCCAGAGTGGTAACAGAAATAAAATACAGCACCAGGAAATCTGCTGTTAATACTCAGCTAAACAGAGTGCTAAAGAATCCCATCAGCTCTAACTTCCACAGGGCAAAGCAACTCCTAGAGTGTTTTATTTTCCTTACCTGTGTAACACCTCGCACCATGGAGCAGTGTGCTGGCATTTTTAAAAATTAAATTTAGCATTCTGTTATAAAACGTTTCCTGCTGTGTTTGAAAAATAGTCTAAAAATAACTAAAATGTTTAAATGCTATTTTCTTAACTAGTGTCCCAGCTTTTTAAATACATCTCTAGGATAAGTAGTTCATCTGCTAAATTGCCTAATAAATCAATGAAGTTCAAAGAACAAAGTCAGGTTTATA